CTACTTCTCAAACCGTCAACACTGCTTCTCAACAATCTCCTTATAGGGAAAGCACACCGTTTTCAACAAAAGCAACATTCTTTGACATTGTTTCTCAACTTGAAAAAACTAAATTTATTCGTACAAAAGTTAAACAAAAGTTGGGGAACGTTGGAGCATATTAATCGGTGCAAATGCAAAATGATAAGAAAACTATCGGTCTGCGCTTGGAATTTAAGATAAAAGAAATTCGAAATAATGAACTGAGAAATATGACGACTTGATATACATATGTGTATACATATTTCCATACAAATTATATTATATTGTCTAGAGTTTGTTGAATAAGTAATGAATCTTCCTTGATAGTTTAAAGATTTTGTTTGAATGTTAATTACTACTTACTAGACTAGGAAATGTTTCGTTCTATCTTAATATTATTTCTATGGGAATGTCATCTGATCAAATTTGTCCCAGACTAGTCCATTTAAACTGCACGCGCAAACCTAGATTAGTACAATCTTTATCTATGATCGTCTGAAATTTAATCTCCATATGTTAATTATTGTGAGTTTGTCAGCTGTTTGTTTACGACGCGAGAAGTTTGTCTGGCGATTTTTACCATGAAAAAAAAAATTTACAATGATGTCTTGAAACTTTTTGTTTCCAATGGAATCAAGGTTACGAAATCGGGGAATCAAATATTCTACTAACACAAGTATTTGAGTAGCACAAAGCATTCAGTAAAGGTCGCGAAGTAATCGAAAACTTGCCGCAACGAAAAAGTGCTTGAAAATCGTCGGGTTATCATCAGAGAGATAGCAGATAGTTTGGTTAATGTTTTAGGTATGAAAAGTGTCATTCGTTGCTCCGAAAGTGAACTGAAACCGAAATCGAAATGACCACGTCAAATTCAGTCAAAAATTCAGGTAGTGCTCAGCGTTCGATTACCATAGTGTGGTTCACCATGAATTCTTCCACATGGTCAAACGGTCAATAAGAAATAATACATGGCCTCTTTGAGGCGTCTATTTGAAGCAATTCGTAGTAAACGACCGGATTTGTGGGGAGAAAGTTCATGGAATTTTTTGTACCGTCACATTCTAGCAGGATTGTTACTGGCTTTTGGGCGAAACACGAAATGAAAAACATCGCTCAGCAACCGTATTCGCCACGTTTGGCTCCCTGTGACTGCTTTCTGTTTTCGAAACTGAAAAATCCACTTCGGAGAACGCGTGTTGACTCCATTGAAGTCATTCAAAATCTTTCGCTAAAGGCACTGAAAGCGATTCCAGCCGAGGCTTACAACAAGAAAGCAAATTTTGAAGGCGATATTAACGATTTGTATTAAAATATGTGGACATGTTTTTTTGTCAGTCCGGGTCAAATTTCGTTAGCTGGTATACCACTTTGGCTCAAAAGACTTTGTCTCAACAAGGAGAGAAGTTTTTTTATTTAAAGAAAACAATATTTTATTTTTCGACTCAATATCGATCTGCAGTAACGCATTTGTGGAATCAGTACTGAAACTTTTCGATACCGGTTCGATGATGTAAGGCTCCCAGGTTTTAACGATTGTCGATTATTTCCATCTCGACGTTTTCATTTCAGTGAAATCTTTTTCTTGCGAGTCGCTTTTTGAGTTTTTCTGAGAAAGTGGAAAAGTTGTTGTTGGCCAAATCTGGCGAATACGCGTTCAAGGGTCGTTTTTAAAGTGGAATGATTATTGTATTTAATCTAAGGTTACGGAATTAACAACTTGTTCAAGATTATATTTTAGGAGCTACGGTAGCCTTAAAAAATATAGGGGGTAGGTTAGGTTGGCATGCAGTTTTTCTTCTTATTAATTCTTATTAAGTTATTTAGTATCTGAGCTAATAATTGATGTCACACTTCTAATCTTCGGTTGCAAAATAATAATTGAGATTAAGCTGTAAAAATAATATGCAACACAAACAAAAAAGGCCAGCTGATGTGGAGAATTTTAGAGTTTTCCTGATTTAAATCCATTAATATCCACTGTGTGTGCATAGGATTTCAACTCTCTCTAATTTATGCAAAAATTTACGAAACTGTACCACTGTGCGTGACAGCATACTTACCCGCTAAAGCTGCAACGGTGCTCATTTGCTCGTGCAAAGGTGAAAAGTTGTTGGCATTTACACTAAAATATTCACAAATCCCTAAAATATATATTGAAAGAATTGGCATTTCAGATTTTGTAGCAACATGCACTACTTGAAAATGCATAAATGTATTTATTTGTATATACATACATATGTATATATGTATATGTAGATGGTTGTGCCCATATGTAAATGTGTTTGTAAGTATTGATTGTTATACTCGCATGCAAATAAGCTTAGATATGTGGGTATGATAACTAATTTATTGTCACTCGTCGTTCTTGCCACATCTGCAGCGTAGCGGCGAACGCCTCGCTTGCAACAGCAATGACTTTTGCTACAATTGTTGATTGTTTTCAATTTCCATTTCATTTTCATTTTCCTCTGGTTGTACATATGCTTATAAGCAGTTAAGTATGTGCTTAAGTGTGTAAGTATGTTCATAAGTACGCATGTAAGTCTGTATGTATATATATATAAGTGAAATTTCGTATGCATGCGTTAACGAAATTAATGCGCATGCAACACAGCCTGTTGCATGATTCATCGCAATTGTACGACCATGAAATGTTGCATATAAATAAATACATACAAATTTACATAAATACATATGTACATATGCTTAACGAAACGCATATTTTTACGCCACATGCATATACATATGTACATATGTATGCAATTAAAATTCACGTGTGTGTATGTATGTATGTCTCAAAAACTGATATACAAACATTTGCATGCGATAGTATGCTCCCAACGCGCCTCCCTGCTTGCAAATTTATGGTGCTATGCGTTGTAGGATATGCTGATTTTAATCTTTGTTGCAGATACTGTTTACGTTCATGGGTGGGTGAACTCTACAAATCGCCTACAGTGTCTTTAAGAGCAAGATTTTATTAAAAAACAAGAAAAAAGTTAACTTCGGCTGCACCGAAACTATAATACCCTTCACAGGTGCATGTTTTATAGCATAAAAATGTATAAAAAGATTATTTTCTCGATTTTGATCGATAAGTTTATATGACAGCTGTATATTTTAGTTGTCCGATCTAAACCATTTCCTTGGAAGTTATAGCGATGTCTTTGATAATAATCTATGCCAAATTTCGTGAAGATATCTTATCAAATAAAAAAGTTTTCCATACAGGGACTTGAGTTGGATCGATCAGTTTGTATGACAGTTATATGCTGGTCCGATCTAAACAATATATTCGAAGAATGTAGCGTTGTCCTGGACAATAAGCTATGCTAAATTTCGTGAATATATCCCGTCAATTGGAAAAGTTTTCCATACAGGCACTTGATTCCGATCCTTCCGTTTGTATGGCAGCCATATGCTATAGTGATCATATTAGTACTCACAAACTGCTCAGTACTGATCATTTTAAGAACTTCCAACTTCTTTGTTCATCCTTAATTTCTAGAGCAGATAGGGATCATATATTTTTCTGATATTACCAGTAGATATCTTAACATATAGTTCGAGATTTCTGGTTTGGAGTTCGTTCGATCAATAGAGGCTGCAAGTATCATTTTGGCTCGATATCGTTCTTTTTGTATAGTAAACACTTAGCTGATACGTTTTCCAATGTGGAATGTTAATAAGGCTGAAATCACGACACGGCAATTTTTTTTTGTTCAAATTGATGCTGATGCAATATATCATTGTGTATATTGTAAATAATGTAATGAGAGGCTCGTAAGCTCTTTTGCTGGTTCTCTCAATTCATGAGGACTTAAACCTGCAGCTCCCATTCTATGGCGGTAATCGTTGTTTTTTTTTTTTTAATTCCCGGCTGGAACAATATTCTGTTTCGCAGAGAATCAACACGTCCGAGTAGCAGGAGTTTTTTAGCATAGTACGAGCGAGCCGATTTAGGTTAAATATACAGCGTTTTTTTCAATTACTTGTTGCCATTTCAAAGATAATTTCATAATGTCACTCTGAAGAAACCTTCGGAGTTATTGGAGAAACTGTGACATTTCCATTTTAAAATCAAACTCCCAGAACTTCTAGGGAGTCCTCTCCTGTTGGCTAAAGCTCTCCATTGTTGATAGTACAGCTTCGTATTAAGAGTTTGGTTGTAGGGAACCAGCTTATAGTAGATGATTCCATCGTCTCTTGGTCTATAGGACTATAAACACTAGCTAGATGAAAATATGATCTGCTCGGCTTGCGTTTTCGCCTACATTTAGAAGAAGCTGTAAAATATGGCGTATTTTCTGGTATTCTCTTTGCTGGTGTTCATTCTTGAAGCGCGTTTAAACAATACTAACTGAAGCAAGCACAATATTGACTGAGAATAACTGTTTACGAAAACTTATCTTTTTAACGCTATATGGCATAACCCGATCGCACTTATACAATGCGAGAAATAGATTACTAAAACGGATTACTTTATGCTAGAACTAATATTTAATTTTCTTTTTGATATTTAATTATGCTCTAAGCTATACCCTGTTTAAGTTTGCCACGAAGTTTGTAACATCCAAAAGAAAACGTCGGAAATCCTATAAAATATACATATAATTGATCAGCGCGACGAGCTGAGTCAATTTAGCCATGTCAGTCTGTCCGTACACAAGCGAACTAGCCTCTAAGTTTTTGCGGTATCAATAACATATATCCTGAACTTTAACATACATCCTTTTCTACCCAAGAAGCTGCCCATTTGTCGGAATATACTAATCGGCATATACATAGCTGCCAAAAAAATGGAACGGATCAAAATCAAATTTTTGTATGGTTGTTAGCTGCCATACAAATTGAACTATCAAAATCAAGTTCATATATGGCAACTTGTTTTATTATGAACTGTATTATTGCTTCGGTGCATTCTATTCTATTTCATTATAGTTAATTTTACATTTCTAATTGCCTTTTTTCATTTACAGTTGAACTGCTGCCTAATTTAAAGACCTTCACTGTACACTAATGCAAATAGCAATACCAGCAGCCTGAAAGCGCGCTACAGTAATTGTTGACATGACGACCGACGAAGTGGTTTTGCGGTAAGTTTATACACATGCGAGTGGGAGTCAAGCCTGCAAGCTTAACTTCTATACGATTATGCTTGGAAGTAAGTTTTAAGATTTGGCAAAAGCTTACGAAGAAATGAAAGCGAAAGAAATGTAGTGTAAAGATATTAGTATCGTTGAGATAATGGTTAAGTTGGGATAACAGTAAGGGGTTAATGCGCTTACCTTGCCGCAAAATTAAATTAATGCAAGCGGAACCAGTAAATATGTGTGTATGTGTAACATATTATTACATTCTATTTATTTCCTTTTATATTTTTTTTCGCTTATGTTTTATCAAGATTTGGTCTGTCTTTATTTGAGTATTTTACTATCTAAGCGCCATCTCTTCCTTTTCTACTTCACAATTCAATCACAATGAAGCGCTGTGCTGGGCCGCCTTTCCGTAGAGGGGAGCAAGAAAATTGAATTACCGTCTCTTCCTACTTCCTTTCTACGGGTTCTTGCTGCAGTCAAGTCTCCAACTACACACGTGCCTTGGACCGCAGATGTTGGGCGCGATAAGCCATGTCTGCGCCCGCCGCAGCTTTTCTTTCAGACTTCGGCAGCTCACTGGCCACTAATCCCGCTTTCACTGCGCTCAAAGTTCGCAAATCTCTACGTCGTCTTTTACCCACCACGCTCACAGGCACGCCAGATACTGTGCCCAGTTGCAGTAGCAGCGGATTGCTGGCCAGCGCCGCGGCGATGCCCAAAACCGCGGCACTTGCAAGCGGTATGAGAAAACTTTTAGCCAACAAAGCCTTCTGCGACAGCTCGTGGTGGCCCTTGTGCGCTGCCGTTTCGTGTGGCACTTCCGGGTAGGTGTATGAGTACTCACCACCGGCGCCCGCATAGTGGCCGATGCCTTTGCCGCCATACACGTCGAAGGGTATAGCGCCGGCCTCGACACTGTTCGCTCCGCCATAGTAGCCGCTGTGACCGGTGGCGCCGTAGTGTCCACTGGCATGTGTAGGGCCGTAGTCGATGTAGTGTCCACCGGTTGTGTAGGGTCGTATGTCATGGTAGCTGTGGTGGTCACCGCCTCCACCAGGTGCGTAACCTGAAGTTAGTCCATGCACCTCGTTGCTGCCATAAGGTTCTGGTAGTGATATGAGAGAAGTGGTAAAAAGTGGTTGGAAGCATTAAGTATTGGTGGAGCTGCACTACTTACTCACACTGATCCTATCCTGTGCGCTTTGTCCGCGTATCTGCTGCCAGTTGTTGAAAGAGTTCGCTAGTTGTTGACTGGGATCATTGTTGTGGAATTTTTTTTTTCCGGTAAGGTCTGGAAACGTGATGGGTTTGGAGATAAAGCTTGCGGTGGCGCTGTCGCGATTATGATAAGGTGTATTGATTGAAGCTGAAGACGAGCTTGATGTCGAAGATGATGTTTTGCTGGGTGAACCTGGGCCTCTACAAAGAAGAGGTTAAAAGTCAGAGAAAACTTTCGATTTGTAGAATGATATTAGTTTACAATGATTCCTAATGCCTTCCTAACATTTTTTTTGGGGTTCCATAACTAGTAAATCAACTTCGAAGAGCTAATGTCCCACCGCTAATTAAAAGTCTTTTTCGATATTGGACGGAGTCTGGGATCGCTCAGTATAAGTTTTTGCTACTATTAGATGAGGGCAGTAACCTTATTACCTGTTTTCTTAAACTTCTACACATATAGCCATTATCTATGGGTCAGTTTTCTTACTCAAAGAATACCGACTAAGTTGGAGTTACTTTAAAAGTTCATAATTGATGAGGCTACGAATAAATAGTTTTCCCTTGGTATGGCGATGGTTCGTAAAACCTACAACGTATGCTTTCTTCAAACCTCTCAAAAGAGCTTGGCTGAATCACTGTTAATTTGAATAATCTTACGGAATCGTACTGATTTGTTATTAGTTCTGCGAAAAGGCTTTTAGCTGAATAGGAACTTTCACTTTTACAACCTACAACATATGCTTTCTTCAAATCTCACAAAAGAACTTGACTGAATCACTGTTAATTTGGCAAATCTTACGGAATCGTACCGCGAAAGGCTTTTAGCTGAATAGGAACTTTCACACCAGTCAGTGCTAAGAAAGCTTAGTTTGGGTAAATAATCAAAAAAGCTTTCTTGCGATGCCTTTGAAGTAATCCTCTAAATGCGCTATTGGTTCTAAGAAAACTTACTACTACAGTGATGTATATAATTTTTATACCATCAAAAGGTAGAAATTTCAACGAAGAGAGTTGGTAGGCCCAAACTTTTATAAAAAGAAGCAGACATTTTGACGTGAGGCTTTCGATTATTAAGTTTTTTCTTCCGATGTTAAGTAATAAGGTGAAAAATAAATATGTATTTTAAAAACAATTACATTGTCTTTGTCTTAAAAACCAATGACTTTTCAAGTTTTCACATTTTGAGGTTAGGTGAAAAAAGTGTTCACAGAAAAGTTGTAGATCTTTTTATTACCTATATGTAACTATGCCATGTAACTTTTTACCCTTAAAACTCACACAGATCGCCCGTAAATTATCTTTCCCTTCATTTCAGGTAGGTTTCATCCGGAAACATAAATATTTTTAGTATTTTCATAAGCTTCAGCCCTGGTTCAGTAAAATTAATATGAAAATACAAAACTTGATTCTATGAGTTGTACATATAAATTTGTGCTTTTGGTTAAGTTTGAACTTTCATACTTCATCGCTAAGAAACCATTTTGGTTGTTAAACACTCGTGAAGAGCTGTAATGCATCATCTTTGAGGTGGTCTTAATGTGGCACGTTTGGTTAAGTTTAAGCTTTCAGATTTGTTATCACGTTGAAAGCTTATCTGAGTCCTAAAGCTCATGAAAGCTACTATTTTAGTGAGCTTGAGTGTCGTAAAAGCTTAAAAAGTAAGGTATATATTTTTTTTAAACAGAACAGATGAATCTTTTAAAATGATGAAAATGACTTTCTGTTAGGGTGTTATCGTATAGATAGTATGTGGTAACCCCTCCACAATTTTCTAATGCAACTAAAGCAACTCACAACTAAGTCGTACGATACTTCATGCAATCTTTTCAAGCTCTTTTTTTCACTTCTATTCCTTTGAGAACTTATGCTATTAAAGAAATTCGATTTCACATCTCCGTGGTCAAATGTGATAATGGCAAACGGTGTCTGAAAGGAGGGGTATAAATAAATTGATTAAAAGAATTTCTGAATGAGCATATTTTATACATTTTATTGCGTTATCATTGTGTTTACTGTTACAAAAGACACCATTGAAAGACCATTGAAAGAACGTGACAAGGGCAAATGTGATAACAGTGTGAAGAGGAACACGTTTGGGGGCCAACAAAGCAACTATGCAAGTAAGGGGTTATCAAAGCGCCACGTCTGTGGTCTCCTGTGTGTCATATATTATCGCCGTATTGGCTGGACTGGCCATTACGCTGCACGTCTCGGTGCGGGTTTGCTTTGAGTATGTGACTCGCAGTTTTAAAATGCTGCCGGACAGCGGAGGCATGTGGAACTTTAGGTGTGTGTGCCAGAAAGGACATTTGCTAACACCGGTCAGCCGGGATCTGCGCCCACAACTTTTGCATTGTTCATAGTGGATTTTTTTGCTGAAACATATGTCTGTGTGTATGTGTTCGCCCACATGTTTTGTCACGCGTGTTCATAATTTGTCGCATTGTTGCTTTAGCCTTTGGCTTTTTTGTCGTGCATAGGGGATTATAAATAGCAACAACAAAGACGAGTGGAAAATAAAAGTGAAAGCGACAAATTGCTGGATTTTAGGTAAACTCCTGACTCAAATGTGGCTGGACATGCAACAAATGTTTGGCTTGAAGAACGCATATTGTTATACCATACAACAACAAAAACCAATTCCAAGCATTTTTCTGATGTTTTTTGTGTGTACATATTTGTATGCCGCATGCCTTAGAGTGGCGCCTCTAATGTGCATTAAGGTGTTAGCTTTTATTGCTGTTCGCTATTTCGCTACATTTGTTGTTTTTGTTATAAGATTTGTTGCGCAGAATTTTTGAAAAAATTTTATTTGTCGCATTATTAGTTGCATGCAAACGTTTTTATGCTTTATTTCGCATGACATTTTTACATGTTTCCTCATCGCTGCGCTGCCACCTAATCCACTTTGCAATTCTAAAGCTACTCTCTTTTACCGTTATAAATGGCAATGAATGCGAGCGGTGTGTTATGAAGTATAGTTTACCGTTAATAAATATAAAAATAAAACAACAACAAAAACAATAAAAATGTGAGGCTAGTAAATATTTACATATTTGAATGTCTGCCAACTTTTACTTTTATCTGAAAAAACTAAAACTTTTTTCAAAAAACAAAAAACAAAGTAAAAATATAAATATTAAATATGGGCGCTAAGCCAAAATTCTTTACATTCGTTGCTGATTTGGTTCTATTTTTGAGTTTTCAACATTTGCTTAAATGCTCACCCGAATTTTAACTTGTGGTGTTGACGTTCCAAACCACATCCGATTAGCGCCGAACTGAAGGAATCAGTTTTACAAAAGCATGAAAAACTGTATATTTCAGTGCAGCTGAGTTCCGAGCCTATGGCTCAACAGATATTAATTACAAAGTGCTCTCTCTATATTTTAGATTGAGAGATAAATTATTTCGTCATTATTCCAAAAAGCAGCTTCAGGTGAGCATAGTTTTCTGGACGGTAAACACAGCTGAGGTCGGTACCCTGACCAAACCTCACGTAGTACATATGTAAAAATCTAATGTTGAATCCTCATAAACGTTCCATTCTCATCATATTTTACTATTTCCTTAATTCCATCTTGTTTTCAGACAGATCTCATAGCTAGAGATCAACTATAATTAAATACATTAATTAACTTTTAGGACTACCTTTTTTTCCATGATACAGTCAGGCCTATATAGGCAGAATATATAGATTAGGTACTCAGGGGCGTTGCCAAATATAAGGTTGGCCGTTATTTCCCTTCCGCTTTTTTGCTCTTCATTCAATGCTTTATTAAAAGTGTTACAGTGATCGGATTTAGTTAAAATATGCGCCGTTTTGGTCGTAAACTTGTTGCCAACGAGATGCCAACTTCATTACACCCCTCTCGTAGAAGGCTGCGTCCCTATTGGCAAAAAACTCGGAGAGCCAACACAGGCCTCTCTTGAGGCCAACTTCTCACCATTAAGCGCGTTCGCCATGGACAGGACCAGGTGGTAATCACTTGGCGCTACGTCCGGGCTATATGGTGGATGCGATAAAACCTCCCATCCGAGCTCCCGCAGCTTCTGACGAGTCATCAACGAAGTGTGTGGTCTGGCATTGTCCTGGTGGAACACTACACCCTTCCTGTTGGCCAATTATGGACGCTTCTGGTCGATCGCCTGCTTCAAGCGGTCCAGTTGTTCGCAGTAGATGGTAGAATTAAGCGTCTGGCCATATGGGAGCAGCTCATAGTGGATGATTCCCTTCCAATCCCACCAAACACACAGCAAAACCTTCCTGGCCGTCAATCCCGGCTTGGCCACTGTTTGGGACGATTCACCGGCCTTCGACCACGACCGTTTTCGCTTGATATTGTCGTATGTGATCCATTTTTGGTCGCCAGTCAGCATCCGCTTCAAGAATGGGACGAGTTCGTTCCGTTTCAGCAGCATATCGCAGACGTTGATTCGGTCCAGAAGGGTTTTTTGCGTCAAATTATGCGGCACCCAAACATCAAACTTTTTTTTGTATCCAGCCTTCTGCAGATGGTTCAAAATGGTTTGGTGACTAAATCCCATCTCCTGGGCGATGTCACGAGATGCCATATGCCGGTCTAACTCGATGTATTCCATGATTTGATCGGTATTTGTCGTGTCGTTTTCACCGGCTCTGAATCGTCGAAACCATTCCTTCGCGGTTCGAAGTGATAGAGTACCATCCCCCAAAACACCATTAATCTCACGGAACGTTTCTCTAGCGGATTTGCCTTTAACGAAGGAAAACTTTAAAATAGCGCGAATTTAGGCGTTAGTGAACTCCATGTTTACACGTCTATAACTGTTGAACGCAATATCCAAACTAATCATGCATAGCGTTGTTTTGTAGGTTATGTCAAGACCTTTAAAATTATGTATAGTGTTGCCAGATACGAGCTCTGTAGCGCTTTGTACATAGCCGCGAAATTCAAAAGACAAAAAAGCGGAAGGGAAATAACGGCCAACCTTATACTATTTAACAAGGGCGCATACTGCAACAATAATTAGCTAACCTTTCTGCAACGGTCCAATAAGAATCAGCTGTATCTTGTCTTGAAATCCAAGGGCGATATCAGCTGAGCTCTTGCTGTATACAAGAGTTCAATATCCCCATCATATACAATATAACTTTTACATATTCCCTGATTTTTTTCTACGAATCTGATATCGTTTTAATAGAAATGTTAATCGAAAGTCTTTTTGAAAATACTTGAGAGAGCAGAGGTTTATCTCGAGCTGTCAGTCATATTATGGAGACTTCGAAGTATCTTTTAGAATAAGCTTTGTTTACTCAATTACAGATGAATGGGAAACCAGCTGGGGTAAATGGTCACCACTTGAGCTCGCAGAAGTATGCAAACTTGAAGGGAGTGGGATGATCTAAAGATGCTTGACTTATTCATATTAATACTTAACTATTATCATATTAATTTAATATGACAACAACAACACTCCTATAAAATTGATCATAAAGACCCTCACAAATCGACAAAGCGCTTTGAGGCGATCACAAATTTGTTGAGGCGGCCAATGTCAGTTTTGGCTATGTTCCTTGGTTCGCCGAAGGTATGAAGTATTTCCAGCTCACCTTCTTTCATGCAACTTTGATTATTTGCGTCCGACTGGACTGTTAATCTGTTAGTAAGAATGCCTATTGGACAATATCCAGTAAGAACTCCTACTGTTTGCATCACTATAGGATGAATATGGTAACACGATCAGTACTCAGTTCTACTCGCTTAGAACAGTTTTAAATAAATTTGTATTGAATTTAACGATTTCAATTGTAGATTGTAGTTTAGAGTTTTTTTAGGTTTTAGCGAAGTCGTATGAAAAATTTTATATACGACAGCATAATTTTCTTAGTTTTAGGATATTTAAAAATTTTTAACCCCATAACTGGTCAAAAAAGTTTGAAAACAATAACCCACCTATAAAATTCTGGCGGCGTATCATAACTTTTGGCCGAACTTGATGTTGATAAATCTCTCAAATTTACATTCCTTTTAATAGAACCATCTATTTGCCTCGTGGAACCCGAACCAAGAGACGTTGATTGGTCCGAGTTGGTTGTAACGGAAGCTGTCGACGTAGCGCGATCTTCCGCACGGGTTAATGAACCGAGAAACAACACAAAAAGTACTGTTATAGTCTTAGGTGTTATTTTAAAGTTTAGATAACGCAACATTTTTCAAAATTAGATCACACACGTTTTGTTTTTACCGAATTCGCAAAAAGGGTATATTTACTCAAGTACAACCGCAGCGCACTTCAACTAGTTAACTAAAGGCTTCGCTGTTGCGTGCAGTGTCTTTTATAAGAAAGTCACTGACTTTGTGGTTTTACTTTTAGTTTCATATGTTACGTATGGTGTTATGATGTTTTTTGCTTTGCTTTGGTTTAATGATCATTATATTAGTGTTATTGTAGTTGTCATCGCTGTGGCTTAGGACAATTTAAGCTACAAATTGTTGCGTTGTAAAGGAAAAACTGTTGAAGAAAATGGCTTGAGAGTTCTCAGTGGTACGCACAGTGTGCTGTAGGTGGGTAATTTTCGTATAAAATTATTTTTACAGAATTGTGAAAATAAGAAACAAAAAAATGAGAGACGGAAAATTGTGGAAGGCGTACTTAGATATTGTCTTAGTTGCAGAAAGCCTTTTCATTAGTAAAGATAAAATGTTTGGTTAGTTCTTATTGGAATACTTATCTTCTAATTGAAGATCCTTTAGATGCTCTCTTCGCAATTACGGTTCTTTCTACTGTATGTTGTTGTATTTTTTCAAATGTTTTCAAATCTCTTCTTCTGCTATCCCCTATTATTTTCGTGCCTTCTTTATTCTTCTTTTGCATATGAAATGGCTATTACAACACGGAGAAGTCTGGTCTTCTTCCCCCATACTATTTGAGGCTTTCTTTCTTTACTTGATGGGTTACAATTGTTTAGCTGGAACTATTTGAACTTCCTTCTATGTTGCTGAATAATGCAATGTGTCTTCCATTAAACACTGTTTGGGGCTTTCGGCACTTTGATGGCTCGGTTCATACTATGTTTATTCAATAGCTTCGAACAATATATTCCAATATATTAAATATGTTATGAGCAACTATGGTGATGGCGATTACAACGACATCAAATATTTAGGGTCTTGGGAAGTCTGCACCAGACGGATTACACTGATGTGATTGCGAAAGCCAAAACTGTGTTGACTGGTCAGCAAACGCATCTTTTCATGCTAAAGCTTGATTCAAATTTCGACCAGTTGGATTACCGCGTTATCCATTGTCACGGCGACGATAATTGGTTGGCTGAAGCTTCGATTCCACGCTGGTTTTTGGGAGCTGTTATGAAGCGCAGATGCTATATTATTACTAGATTGAAGCCCTTAAAAGAAAAGTCGAGAAAGTTGCTGTTTCTGGAATATAGCTAACTGTTCAGTTTCGGTTAGGTTGTTTATTATATGGGAACCGGTTTATAGGAACCCTTAGTCAGTCATTAACTAGCGTCTCTGAACCTTCTTATATTTTCTCGCTGTAATTTTTTTGGGGCCTTGCAAACAACTGTGCATCAAAGCCAGTTCACTCTTATTCCTTTCCTTCTCTCTTCGCAATCGTTAGATTACATGGTAAAGCCAATTGTAATGCCTGCGCCTACGTATTTGTCGTCATGGCCTGCAATTAGTGACGCTAACTCAGTTGACTAACCGCCAACAAGCGCAACCTCAAACAAAACAAGAAAAATTATTTGGTAAAAATAAGTGAGCGCGCAATAATTTATAATTTTAGGTGCATTTTCATAATTCAATCTTTTCACTTTTCATTCAAAACCTCTCGAAATAGTACACATGTACTATAAACGGCAGTCACTTTTGGTTGGTAGTAAAATAAATATTTTACTTACTTGCAAATAAAATGCTTAAAACATAGTGTTGCATGAAGAAGCTGAAATATATGCTTGCAACATTTTGTTGGTGTTGCCACCGAAGCGTAAAATGTCACTTAATTTGAGGTGCTAGCAACATATTTCATTTTAGCTTACGTTTTCATTTTAGCTGTACTAGAAGTTAGGTCATGATTGTATGGATTTCCCAGTTAACAATTCAGGAATTCGAAAAATATGGAAAAGTTTCTTCTACAAGTTGTTAGTTTAAAACATTTAAATCGTCCAAAACTCCAGTCAGTGCAGGTCCTTAAAAGTTGAAGATTTGTATCTTATCGAATCATGGCCATTAGTAAATCATCATCACTAAAGATCAACCACATGATCATCAGAACATCGTTAAGTCCATTCGCCAGAATGATATTCTACATTCAAACCAATATCAATTGTAGTCGAAGAGCTAAAGTTACCATTAATACTTAGTATAGTAATAGAGCTTTGGATTCTCTAACTCCAACTTAGAAAGACTCGACCCATGCATAACCAAATAATGAGACTGGCAATACTTTATATATAATAGAGCTTCATATACCTGCTCAAATTTACTTATCTTCTATCGTCCAAGGCCGCCAATATAATTCGTCTTCTGAACTTAAAGCAAATTTCTTTACGCTCACAGCTAGGCTTCTGAGGAAAAAGAAAAAAGCTGAGCTAAAAACTGTAACAATGTTCAAAGTTTGTTGATTGATTATTTGCAGAAAGGTAAAAAAATCAACTCTGAATATTATTGCAGCCTTTTGGTTCAGCTGGATGAAAAAATTCGTGGGAAAATACCTGATTTGCAACACAAAAGAATAATTTTTCATCAAGACGATACACTTGCTCACAAAGGTGTATTAACAATAACAAAAATCCAACGAGTTAAAGTACGAATTGCTTGAGCATCCACCGTGTCCACCTGATTTGTCTTCCAGCGACTACTAGCTCTTCAGAAACCTGAAACAATTCCTTCGTAGCGTTTTTCGTCGAATGAAGAAGCTATTACAGCCGTAGACGGGTATTTTGCAGAGCTTCCGGAAAGTCATTATAGGGATGGCATAAAATTATTGGAGGATCATTGAAATAAGTGTATTGAAGTTAAGGGAGATTATATTGAATAAAAAAATATATTTCGTACCAAAAACAGTACCACAAACAACCTATATATACATATACGATCAGCTGACGAGCTGAGTTGATTTAGATATGCCCGCCTGTACGTCCGTCTGTATATACGTGAACTAGTTCCTTTTTGATTTCGCACACTTCCTTTTCTCCCAAAGAAGTTGCTTATTTGTCGGAACCGCCGATATCGGAGCACTATATCATATAGCTGCCAAACTGATGGATTAAAATGTTGTTTTGGTATGGAAAACTATCATTTGACAAGATACCTTTACGAAATTTGGAAGCATGTAGTCTTGTTAACGCTAAAATATCTGAAAAAATTGTTAAGATCAGGCCACTATAGCATATAGCTGTTATACAAACTGACCGATCAAAGTCAAGTTCTTGTATGTAAATTTTTCTATAAGTGAAGGGTGTTCTAGCTTCGGTTGTTTCTTATTTCTAATAATATTTACACTCGGCAGAAAAAGTCTGCGTATACGCTTTGGTCTTATTTCGTTTGTTAAAAAATAAATTTGCACAAAATTATCATTTCGCAGCGCAGAAAAAGTAGTAAAATGGGAATTATTTTTTTTTTCTTAAGGCTTTTTCATATTTCAGCCTGTCCAGGGTGTTCAAAAATATTAGCATAGTGTGAAATACGTAACCATGTGACAGAAAATATGAAGCAAAATTTCCGACTTAATGCAACCAAAATCGCTCAAAATTTTAAGAAATCCCTCTGCACTTGTCAGTTTACAAAAAAAAAAAAATAGAACAGGGTTTTATGGTCAAGTCGCACACAGAAAGTCATTCATATGGTCAGTTAATAGACAAGTGCATAATGCTTTCGCCAAAGAACACTTAAACAATTCCCGGTGCATAGCTAGTAATGGTGTGGGCCGAATGAAAGTTATAGAGCCCACCATGGTCAAATATGCATATCTTAATATCTTAAAAATAAATTAGAAACAAAGAGCGGGAGAATTATGTCTTGAAAGTAACTGCTATTCTAGAGGATAACGACCCGAAGCATACAACATAGACTTTGGTTACTCTACAACGTTCCTAAGCAGCTTCAAGCACCACCAGAATCTCCAGTTTTTAAACCTAAATAGCGCCTATAAGATTCATTAGTACGTAAAATCCGCCAACACAGAATTACCTCAAAGGATATGCTGCACGAGGAATGGACTCACATCTCTTCGACAGAAACCTCTGAGCTTGTCTATTTCATGCCAAAACCTCTAGCAGAAAATGTAAAACGTTGAGGATATCCGACTCTCTATTAAATTTTGAGAAGGATTCGGTGGAAGAATATCTTTGCGCCACTTATGTAACCTGTCCGCAGACTTTTTCTCATGTATCTTTTATTCGTCGGCATGTCTTGCTTCGTTTATATGCTGTTTATATTACTGTCGGAAACTCAATCACTTTTATTTTCATAAAACTACATATTAAATATCCTTTAATGAACATCAAATAAATATAAATAGTAAAAAGTATATAAAATTATTTTTTCCAACGATATATTTTTGTTGTACCTTTTATGCAGACTTTTGTGTACATTCTGACTTCGTATAATTGTGTTTGCTGGGTTATCAATGCTATACTTCCAAGTATTTATGTTGTTGTGAAGTAAAGGAGAATTATAAGAAAATGTGAAAAAGATTGTTGTAACATTGAATTGTTGTGACAGTTCAAAACGTTTGGAATCCAAACTCCACATTATATAATTTTTGAAAAATAAATATTGGAACCAATTTAAATAAATTTCTACCTATACACATATGTATGGTATATGTACTAAAATAAATATTTTACGATTTTGTGCTCGCATATTTTTCTTTTTGACAATTGTTTATTTGAAAAGTGTGAAAACCATTTGGATTTTTAATGAGTGCGTTTAAGTTTGATATTGTTTACAAGCCTGCAATCAGTCGCGATATATGTACATACAAAAAATTAAATACAATAGATTACGTAGTTTTATCTATTTCAAATTACTAGATTACGTAAATTTAAAAGGTCGCTGTTAATAACGAAAAATTGCCGACGTGCTCTTATCAAACTTGCACATGTATATGAAATTTTAACAAGAGCTGAAAAGGTGGGGACTTATAAGACCGTCATACATATTATTCTTTAATTAAACGCTAAGACCTTGAAACACGCTTGAGTAATGAGTAAATATAGCTGTGTAGAGAGAGTTGTGTCGTACTCAGCAAAGAAAATAAGTTTTTAACGAGGATCTCGCCAGTTCGCTTAGACGTTAAGTTGATCGACG